TGATGAAGATGATGATTTACTTATTGCCAATACCGCGATATACTTGAAGAATAACCATGGAAATTCAGTTGCAGTTGTTGGCAACGACATCGATTTATTGGTTTTATTGATTGGTCTCACAACAACAGAAGATAACATTTTATTTATAAACTAACTAGTTCAAAAAAATCTACCAACAAATTATACTCCACTTCTGATAATAGTAATTTCAAACAATTCATATTATTTGCACACGCTTTCGCAGGTTGTGACACAACCAGCGCCCTATTTGGGAAAGGTAAGAAAAAATTATATGATACATATGATATGTCAGAAAATCAATAGAAGCAGAAGTGGTTGATTATTAATGATATTTTGAAAAACGCTGAATCTCATGAGGATTCTGAAGAAGAATGGGTCCTTGATTATAACGATTTTCAGTACTAAACATTCTTCTTCACCTAAAAAATATTAAAAAGCAAAATTGAGGCATTTGGTTAAGAATTATTTAAATTTTTGGCTTTCTGCTACTCCATCTTGATACAAAAAAATGTGGGGAATCTTCCAAAACAAAGAACGAAGGAATAAATCAATTTCAAAAAAATAACTCTATACAAAAACGAGTAGATCCAAAAAATATAATTCCCTGTAATTTAATTATTGAAATTTTTCGTTCTTTTTGTGTAAAAAAATTTTTCTGTATTTTTTTAAACAAAAATCATGTGTTTGAAGATTATTGACAGTGTTTCATGATGATGATGCTTGATGATGGGTTTCCATATGTTGCGTATCTCTACGCTAGCTTGCCTGAATACGTTGTTGGAAACATTTATGCGGCTTCCTTGAATTTTCACCTTAACCAATGTTCCTCTCTGTGTATGATCTCAGCTTGGGACCACTCGATGTTGTGTTGATGGGTCCAAACATGGTCTGCTATTCCTGATTTGCTGGTTTCCCCTCGCTGTGTGTGTTTCTTGTGCTTAGCAATGCGAACATTCAATGGCTGTTTTTCCTTGTAATAGTTTTATTATGGAAAGTAAAAATCTAGACAAGTTTTGAGTTGAAAGACACGCCAGATGAAGCCATTGTATGGCGAAACACGTGTTGCGTTTTTGTAAAACAATTTAGTGAAAATCTCACAATAAAGTGGAAAAGACACGCCAGATGAAGCCATTGTATGGCGAAACACGTGTTGCGTTTTTGTAAAACAATTTAGTGAAAATCTCACAATAAAGTGTTTTTGGAATACGTAAGTTTTGAGTAGCCGAATCTCTGGAGCTGATGATCGGTCTAGACTAGAGTCAATTGAAGTCACACAAGAAGATCAACTAATTAATTTCGACGTGGAAAGCCTTCACACCAACGTTCCGGTCGAAGAAACACTCCAAATCATACAGAGAAAGCTATCCGAAGACGGGAACCTGAAAGAGAGAACGAATCTACCTAGAGAAGTAATTATATAATTACTAGGATGCTGTGCACGAAACTGTTATTTCCAACTGAAGGACGAATTCTTCACACAAGATGACGGGCTGCCAATGGGATCGCCACTTTCACCAGTTATAGCCAACATATATGTGGAGCGGTTTGAAACTCTGGGCATTGAAGAAGCCCACAAGAAACCTCGAGTCTGTTTGAGATATGTTGACGACACCTTCATAATATGGAACCATGGGAATACTGACCTAGACGCTTTCCTGAAACACATCAACAGCGTGATACCTTCCATAACTTTCACAATGGAGAAGAAAATCCACAATTAATTGCTATTCTTAGACGTTTTGGTAAAGAGGACCGACACTAAGTGGAAACATCTGTATAGCGAAAACCCACTCACACGGGACAGTATCTGAACCACGAATCCAACTAAAATCAATCGACTAAAAGAGGAATCATCAAGACTCTATTAGACAGTGCTTTCGGGCTCTGTGATATGAAGGAAGGTCTCGAGAAGGAACTAGACATCATCAAAAATTATCTTCAACGGAATGGCTACTCCAAAGTGATGGTAGAAAAGACTTTGTCTAAAAAACAGCAGGAGCCTCGCAAGGAAGAGAAGCCGTCACAACCAGTGCTTGCACTTCCCTACATCAGAGGATTATCGGAGAGGATTAGAAGAATTGGTTCCGAGTACAACATCAGAACCTGCTTCAAATCCGGGAACACTATCCGTAGCAGCCTCACGAAAACCAGGCCACAAAACGCGGACTGCGATTCCAAGAATTGCATTTACTGGATACCCTGTGAGTGCGGAAAATCCTATATTGGTGAAACTAAGAGGCCATTGAATGTTCGCATTGCCGAGCACAAGAAACACACACAGCGAGGGGAATCCAGCAAATCAGGAATAGCAGACCATGTTTGGACCCATCAACCCAACATCGAGTGGTTCCAAGCTGAGATCTTGCACAGAGAGGAACATTGGTTTAGGAGAAAATTCAAGGAAGCCGCATAAATGTTGTCCAACAACGTATTCACCCAAGCTAGCGTAGAGATACGCAACATATGGAAACCCATCATCAAGCGAAAAATGGCCAACTTCCGCCAAACGGTTATCTCCCACTGAACCAGTGAAGCGAAAAAAATGGAGAGCGGAGATAAATGAAAGTACTCGAACGACCCATAAATAGTCATCTCTCCGAGGAATCAGTCCAGTCATCGCCCGAAGACGATTATAGATTATTTCTTGTTCAATTGTTTTATTTTCACTTGTATTTCATTTCACTATTATTTCATTTCAGTTTTTTTGCCTAATATAATTGTTATTTTCAGCTATTTATTTTTAATTCTTCCTTTTTTTCAGTTGTTTCAGAGATTCCAAATCATTTTATATTATAGACAATGGAAGTCCGATTTAGTGAAATTCAAAAACCATGTGTCACAAGAAGGAACAAATTGTTGTTTTAGTTTTTTTTTTGGTAGCATTTAAAAAATATAAATTGTAAAAATTAATTTTCCAAAACAAATTGTTTATTGAATGAATATGAATAAAAAACACAGTTTTTATTCAGAATATAAAAAAATAGAAATTATGATTAAAAAAAATCATTCCTCAATATTCATATTTAGTAGCAAACAAAATTGTGAATCAACAAATGCGTTTTTAAGCAATAATTTTTTTTGAGAAATGATTTTGTTTTTAAAAATCATAATATTCATTATTGATGAAAATCCCCTCTGAAAAATTTCAAATATCTCAAACAATACAATTGTTTATACCAATTTTGCAAACAAATAGAGCTAAAAGTGGCGTAAAAACCATTTTTATGTAACTCTCAATAATAAGAATATAAACAAATTCGAATATAAAGAAAATTTTTTCATTGCTTCAATTGAATTTTGCACTTTTTACTGTCTTTAATTATTAATAACAAAGTGAAAAATCAAAGTTTTTATATTTTTTTAACGGGAATCTTTTTCAAAAGCTTTCAAGAGAAGTTTCAAGAAGTAAAAAAAATGAAGTTTTTGATTTAAAAATTATCGAGGTTTTCATGTAAATTCAAAACTTTTAAAAATTAGTTAATTAACCAAAGTATATCTAATAAAATAATCACGAGAAAAATTTTTTCCGTGAATTTTCGTTCATTCAAGTGTCTAGAAGGTATGTGAATTTATGCTAAAATCAACTTATATTGAAAAATGCAGGCTTGCCTTTTGCATGGTAATTTAAATCCTCATTTTATTGGACTATTTACGGTTCAGTCACTGATAGATATTATTCAATTTCATCAACTCAGGACCCGAAACTAACTTTATTTTTCACAAAAAATATTCGGTCACCCTGATGTGAAATTTGAAATTTTCTATCGACAAAAAACCTCTAAAACTCCAATTTCTGACGGAACTCTATCAACGCACGTGCGTTAACGAAATACTTACTTAATTTAATTATTATGCAAAAAAGACTCCTAATAAAATCATTACCCCTGCATACCAGGTCCATTCTCGAAAACGTCTTAGGAAAGCCACCAACCAGAAGAGAGGCAGATACTTCACTGAGTCATAGAGGGAGGTATTATCTTTGTGGACGCTCAAAAAATAATAATACAACTGTGAAATGTTCAAATTGTAGCCAGTTTTATTGTAAAAATCATAGCAGATCATTTGTTAAATGTGATTCTTGTATCAACTCTGATCGAGTCAGTGAGTCTGATTAGTAGTTGTTTCCATCCATTATGTAAAAACTTTTTTTTTATCAATCAGAATGTTAATTTTACCCCTCTTTAATAAATATATATGGTTTATTTTAAGGTTGATGTTTTATTTGCTGAAAATTCCACATGGCGTACTCCATACGCCGCGCGCCAGATTGTGTAACAATTTAGGCGCGCCTAGCCAAGGGTTATGTAGAAAATAATAATATAATTTCTCTTATAGCATATGAATGTTTTCAATATTCAATCTGGATAATTTCACTCTTGACTGATTGCTCATATTGAATAATTTACTCATATCCTTGTCAAGATTTATTCTTTTAATAAATTTGTTTTTAGTTTTGCATCCTTATTCGTAAACATTCAATGTTTCTTAGGTTATTAAAAGCATTACATCACAATATAGGAAATCATTGAAGAAAACATTCTTTGAAATTGACATCAAGCATTGGAAAGCATTATATTTCAAAAGTTAAAATAATGTCTATGATAATAATTACACAATTTTCACAAACATTTTTTATTTTTAGACTGTAATTATTATCATAGATACTATCTATTTATAAGTTAAAATGACTTCCTACCTTTCTATCCAGTGTCTACCTTTTTCTACAATGAATCTAAAACTATGAAAAGTGGTATTCAGAAAAAAATAATTTATTACTGAGTTTTCTGGATTTGGACTTTCCATTTTCAATTCAAAAAAGAGAGTACACTGAATGGAATTTGTGTGTAGTCCCCCAGTAGTTTTGTAGGAAATCGATAGCAATCAAGTACTGTTATCACATTTATAATCAAACAATTCGATTTGGGTGTACAGTTGTATTCGTGCTCTGTAACAATGGGGGAAATCATTAAATATTCATATTCATTTCTGAAAGAATTTATTCATTTTTGTTATACAATAACGCATCAATGTGTAAGCAATTATCAATTTTTTATATGCACTAGCAAACAATAATAACAAAATTACTCAACCCAAGTAGATTCTTTTGCTAATTGCATTTCTAAAGAACATTTTATTGTTCTTTTAATATATTTCTCTTCTGAAGATTGATCATTAGCCTCAGTCGTTAGAACTTCATCTTCTCTCATGGAGGCCTCATTGAGATCTGTATTTTCTACACTATCTTTGAACAGTATCTCGTGGCATTTTTCAGATCCATTATCATTCCCTAATTGATATGTATAATGTTCATCCAACTCTTCTTCATTTGTTGAGTGACATTCTTTATATTTTCTAAAATCATCACTATCCAAACCTCCACTGTTGGGAATTTCACTAGTATTTGAATATTCTTCATCACTGTCTGTAAGCGGAACTGTTTCAGTTTTCACCAAGGTGAATTTGTCGGCATTTTCAAATATTGAAGCAATATCTTCAGTAACAGTTTGTTCCATAATTTCCTCTGCGTCTTCATCATCTTCTTCTAAAAGCATTCCCATATCTGCATAATGTTTTCTAAATTCACTGTCTTTTATTTGATCTAGTCCTCTCAATTCTTTTTTAGATGGAATACTTGTGGAGAATGTTTTCTTACCAAATATTTGTTCATTCATTTTTATGAGTTTATCAACAACTTTCAATTCTTTTTCTATAGCTTTATTGTAGTCCTTCACAATTTCTTCTCTTGCTTGTCTAGAGCGCTCATTAAATTCGGCAAGAGACTTGGTAAAATCCGATGTTTGTTCCCTCACTTCTGAAATTTTATTGCACGCAATCAAAGCATTTTCTGTTTCCTGTTCTTCTTTTTTTATTTCATTGTTTATGATTTCATTTTGATTTTTTTGAAAGACGGGATAATTCTGGGATACTTTCAACATCTTATGTATTTGTGAAGGCTTGATATCTCCATCTTTCACCTCTCTACCAGTTTCTGTGTAGATGCTCTTATAATTCGTGCAAATAATACTCTCTGAAGTATTTTTTGAATATTTGATAACATCATTTTCTTCTACAGTATCTCCTGGCGGAGTCAGTTCAAATTCCAATTTGACCTTTTTTTGACTTTTCGTTAGTTGTTCTATAATCTCATCTTTTTTTTCATTAACAACTTCTCTCTGTATCGGTTTCAAAATTTGTATATTTTGCTGCGGTATTTTTATATCCCATTCCAACATCTCTCTATACTCTCGGTCTTCGTCATTATTTTCTTTCGGTTTTGATGTGAGTATTTTTTTCAGTTCTTCTTTAGTTTTCACATTTGCTGTTAAGTTGCACTCCTGTGGACCATCTCCTTGTTCGTGTATGTTTTTAATTTTTGTAGGCGGAAGCTTGTCCATTTGTCTGTAAATCTGATCCTCAAATCTTTCGAAAGATCCATCACTCTCATCACCTTCATCACTACTGCAAACATCTGACTCTTTTACCTCAACGTTTTCTCTCAAAATATCTTGAATTGTTGTGTACTTAGTAATTTTTTTAACTTCTTCGCCCATGATTTCACGAATATTTTCTCTTGTTAAATTAATCACATTCAGGTCCGAATTTTTCTCAATAACATTTTTGTTTGTCTTCTGTTTTTCCTCTTCTTGTACTTGTATTTTTCCCATCTCACGTCTTTCCAAAAATTCTTCGAATGTCACGGTCGAATCTGACATATCTTCATTTTTGACAATATCAGTTGCTTTTTGTTTCAAAAGACGTTTGTTTTCAGAAAAATAATCATCGGATATCAGGTCTCCTTGTATTTTTTCCTTATCATACTGAATCTTCTGTTCTTCACTGTTGATTTTATTTGCATTTCTCACATATGCTTCCTGGTGTTCAGTTGTGTTAGTTATTTTTTCTAGTACTTTTGAAAAATTGGCTTCAGGTTTTTCTTCCTCTTCATTCAACTCTTTCATTTCTTTCGTCAAACATACATTCTTGTAATGCCTTTTAAGTTTTATAGTGTTTTTATCGTTTTCAACCTGTTCATTAATGTTTGAATTTTTTTCTTCATTACTTGTCTGTTCTTTGATTCCACTTGTACTTGGTGCATTTTCATCAGTTATTTCTTCAACTAACAATCGTCGAGTTGATTCTGAAAAATAATTAAGTATTTCAGAAGGATGAAATAAATCATTGATTTGCAACTCATACCTTTTCTAGTAAAATCAAAAATTCTTTCTCTATATTCTGAATATTCTCTCGGGTCGATCTGCCTGTCTTCCATAAACTCATCGTCTGTATCACTATTTGAAGAAGATTGCATTTCTTCTCTCTGACACTCCCTGGCGTAATTATAATTGGGAACATCATTATCACTCGTCTCTGAAAAGCTATCATCCACTTCTTGAAATTGAGGAAAATTGTCGTCTTCAAAATGTTGAACGTTTTGCGGATTATTTTCAGAGTCACTTTCCGAATCTCCCACCGAGGTTCCATGCCCGCTGTCGGATTGTCTGCGACGTTCCTCAAGGTGTCTGTCCCTCATAGCAATCAGTGCTGAAAAAGAACACTGGTATTATATAGGGTGGTTTACTACAAGCGACGTGCAACGTCGAACTAATGGTTCATTGTTCTAAAATTTTTCTACTTTGGTCTACAACAATTTAAGTTACATAGGAAGTTTTACAAATAACTGACGAAATAAAATTGATTTCTATACATGGAACACTACTTCCAATGTTGCATTTGACTAGTTAATATATATTAGTCTTTAATTTTGGAGTATTCCCGAATGACTTGAGATCACTCCAATTATTACTACCTCGAGTTCTGATTCTTCTATTAAAAGTATACCCTTCATAAGTACGCATGGACATTCCCAGTTACGAAGACGACATCTATGGAATCCAACCCAAACCATGTTCATCTAAGATAAACAAAGGTCCCCACGGTAAACAGCTGCAAAGTCTGTGGCCTAGCTTCAATACTCATTGCCGCTTCAGAAATTGCTTTCTTTCTATGAAAATTTCAATTTTGGTGTTGAATCATGAATGTTTTTGGGCTCTGATTTCAATTTCATTCTCCTAGAGATGAATTCTGAGCGTAAAATAGGTTATTTCGCTGCTTCGTTTCTGGGGTAAAGTATATATACCTTTTTTGTGTTTCACTATGTAATAGTTACTTCATGTGTATTCAATAATCTGTTTGTATTAAAAAACGTCTGAAGATGTGTATGTTGTATACAGAATCAAGTGTTGAGGTATCGTCATTCTATTCAGATTCCAGGACATCGGCTACGGAGGCACATCTTCACCGGCAGCACTGGGTTACAAATCTTAATGAGGATCTAGAAGTGATTTCGAATTGGGGTGAAAGTAACCAGGTTCAATTTAATACCACAAAAACTCAGGCATCGACTTTTTCCAAGAAGATAAATATCTTCGAACCGGTTATAATAATGTCAGGTCAAACAATTCCGCTTTCTGCTTCGATAAGTTTGTTGGGGGTTAAAATGGACACCAACATGTCTTGGCACTATCATGTCGCTGAAATTTCAAAGGCTGCTTCTCAAAAGCTTGGAACACCGTTCCGACCCAGTAAACTGTACACACCTCAGCAACGTTTGATCCTTCGTCAAGCTCAGATCAGACCTTCTTTGCAGTATTGTTCTCATGTATGGAAAAAAGGTTGGAGAATCGTCTCTCTTCTATAGATAATTTCACGGAAAATGTTCAAGTGACTTGGCACATTTGATTCCACCAAGAGCGGACATATCAGAAATACGCGACGGATTGTGGCTTCTCATCGTTTTGAGGTTCAACTCAGTACACCTTGAATTTCATTGTTTGAGAACTCTTCAATCTGGGGAACTGCGTTTATGTGGAAGTAACTTCCTGAAAACGTTTTTCCAAATGGATCTAATCTCCAGCGGTTCAAATCCAATGTGAATCGCTACTTTCTCACAGGCACAGCTCTGAGAGCGCCTTAAGGATTTTCCTGTAGTGTTTGTGTTTTGTCCTTAAAAAGATACTGTCTGTTGTTTTATCTTCATAATCTCGACTTCACTGTATATGATTAGATGTATCTCTTTGCATGCAGTATGCACTTTTCACAACCACCTGAACTGTATTACCCTACTCGACGCGCGTTTCACCAACCAAGTTATTGTCTTCAGGAGACGAAGGGTTTACTCAATCTCCTGAAGGCGCGATTGGATTTTTTTTCGAAAATGATTATTCATGTCGAAATTCTTACCTAGAAGGCCCAACCTGTTAGAATTTTTACCAATCTGCGAAGTTCATTTTCAATTTTGTGAAAAAAATCAGTTTTGTGAGAAATGTGAAATTTTTTGATACCCGAGAGTAGGGGGCGGAAATTTTTCTGTCAGACGTTATTATGCTGGTCGAAATAAATATCTAGAACACCCGACTACAAGGTTCATTTCCAATCTTATGAGAAATTATAATTTTTCTTCAAACTTGATAGGTGGAGGTAGAAATTTTTTCTGTCGGAAGTAGACAATATGGTCCAACTTTTCATCTGAGAAGGCCAACTTGCAAGAATTTCTGCCAACCTGCAAGTTTTATTTTGAATTTTCTAAGAAAAGTGAAATTTTTCGTCGAAAATGATCGATCAGGTAGAGATTCCTATTTGGGAAGCCCGACCTTCAAGAATTTCTACCGACCTGCAAGGTTTATTTTCGATTATGTGAGAAAAGTAAAATTTTTCTATAGGTTAGAGGTTGGTAATTGTTCTGTCCAAAATGATTATACTAGCCGAAATTGTCACCTGTGAATCCCAATCTGCAAGAATTTCTACCGATGCAAGGTTCATTTTCAATTCTGTGATGAATGTGAAATTTCTTCATATCCGAAAGGTAGAAGGTGGAATTTTTTTTTCGAAAATGATTGATCAAGTCAAGACTTTCAACTGGGAGGTTTAACCTGCAGGAGTTTTTGCGGACCTGCAGGGTTTATTTTCAATTTTACGCGTAAGTTTAAGCTTGAAAAAGCTTTTATAGAGAACATTATACAATAAACTGTATTAATCAGTTATTTTTCGCAAAAAAATTGTAAATTTGGTGAATAACTTCCATAGAAATGCAATCAGAAGAATAGTTGGCCATATTCATTCTTATGTAAAAAAATTGAATAATTTATTATTCACATGTGTCACAAAAATATTATCGAAAATAAATTTGTATTCTTTAATCTGTGAAATGTATACAGTGTGTAAAAGCCAAATGAAATAAATTCATTATTACGGTTACAGTACATATTGAAAAAATCCCGGAAGACGTCAAATGTAAATTATAATCAGGCATGACCGACCTAATCGCAAGCGTTATTCGTTCTATTGAGTCATTAAAATCTGAAGGTATAGTTTCGTACACATTACCCCTCACATATCCCCATAAAAAAATCTAATGGTGAAAGATCAGGTGATCGCGCTGGCCATTCAATCGATCCTCGTCTCGCTTCATCCTGCTAAAACCATATCGTACTCACTGGAACTAGAGGGTTTCCTGGATCAGGATATAAATTCGCTAAACTTGAAATGACATTATTTTGAGTTTCAAATGATTATCGCCCTTCAAGTTGCCCTCAATGAAAAAGGGACCAATGATATGGTTTCCTACAATCCCTGCCCAAACATTGACCTTTTGAGGGTATTGCGTGTGTTCTTTTCTCATCCAGTGATGATTTTCCGTTGATCAGTAGCGGCAATTTTGCCGATTAGCATGACCATTAAGAGAAAAGTACACTCATCAGACAACATAAGGTTTTAACTAGAGACGATAAAGAGCTTACTGAAAAAGCTTTTGAATACGAATTAGCGCCATTTTCAAAATCATTATTCGATTCTGCAGGCTTCATGAGGAAGACCCAAAAGTCAGATTTGTTTACTGTTTTCAAAACCAGTCTTGAAAGTGATAAATTGTTATTATCTTTTTCATTCGTCGTTGATGGGGGGTTTTTACTCCACCAAGTCACCTGGCCTCATGGTAAAACATACTTGGAATTATTTCAATCTTATCGTCAATACATTGTTACTCATTTTACTAGTAATTCAGTGGTTGTATGGATACAGCAGTGATCAATTTGGTGTCAAGTCTTACGAAAGATATCGAAAACAAGAGAAAAATGTTGCTGCAGATGTCGATTTTGACAAGAATATTCTTGTTACATTTACACAAACGAAATTTTTATCAGATATTTGTAACAAACACAATTTTGTTCTGAATTTGAGTGAATATCTACGCTCGAGTGGAATTGAAGTAAGGAAAGCTGATGAAGATGATGATTTATTTATTGCCAATACCGCGATATACTTGAAGAATAACCATGGAAATTCAGTTGCAGTTGTTGGCAACGACGTCGATTTATTGGTTTTATTGATTGGTCTCACAACAACAGACGATAACATTTTATTTATAAACTAACTAGTTCGAAAAATCTACCAACAAATTATACTCCACTTCTGATGATAGTAATTTCAAACAATTCATATTATTTGCACACGCTTTCGCAGGTTGTGACACAACCAGCGCCCTATTTGGGAAAGGTAAGAAAAAATTATCTATACATATGATATGTCNTGAAGGTGTCGTCAACATATCTCAACCAGACTCGAGGTTTCTTGTGGGCTTCTTCAAATGCCAGAGTTTCAAACCACTCCATATATATGTTGGCTATGACTGGTGAAAGTGGCGATCCCATTGGCAGCCCCTCATCTTGTGTAAAGAATTCGTCCTTCAGTTGGAAATAACAGTTTCGTGCACATCATCCTAGTAATTCCATAATTACTTCTATAGGTAGATTCGTTCTCTCTTTCAGGTTCCCGTCTGCAGATAGCTTTCTCTGTATGATTTGGAGTGCTTCTCCAACCGAAACGTTGGTGTGAAGACTTTCCACGTCGAAACTGATTAGTTGATCTTCCTGTGTGACTTCAATTGACACGCAATAACTGTCTGTGATACGCGACATCTACATTTCACAGGAGGGATAAAATAACAGTTTTCAAAATGTTTGAAAAACAAAATTTAGTTCAATGTGCTGAAGTTTTTGAAAATAGTTATTCAACTCGACCAATTATCACTAACGGCCTTCATTTCTTCTTTCTATACGGAGCTCCTAAAAAAACTACCTGCTTATAAATATAACTATACATATGCATGTTTCGTCAAAAATACCTAAAGTAAAAAACAAGTAAAATTACTTTGCCTTCCTCCAACCTCAGTTGCTGCTCATCAACATCTTTTTTGGGTATATTACTAAGATCAAGTGTGGCTTGGTTATCAGGTAGACCCTACAGACTGGGATTAGAAGTTGGTCAACAATTCATTAGAACCAGTCCAAACTTCACTTCCACCTGTGCCGGAAACATTGCTGAACACCATTTTATGCAACTGCAAAAAGGGGTGCAATGCTAAATGTGGTTGCAAAAAAGCCGGACTGTTTTGTTCTCTGGCATGTACAAATTGTCAAGGCCGGTCGTACTCTAATATTGAATTACTAACAGTGGAGGATCCGTTTGATTCCAACGAGGCGA